ATTTGCCACTGATGATTCAAACGTGAGTTTTGAGCAGTGTAGAGTAGCACTTGTTGTTTGTCATTTCTCTGCTCACAAATGCAGACATGGTTTTATGTTGACACGATGCAATGCAACGCAACGCGTAAAAAGACAGTACAAGTCATTATAATCCGTAATTATGTCCCCACTGGATGCAACAAATGCCTCGTTTGTAATGGGTTTTCATGTTTTTGAATCATCGCTCCGGCCTGACAGGGCATCATCACAGTATGGTGAGGGGCGTAACATTTCCGTCACATGCTTGAGGTAATCGGCCAATCACAACGCACTGGATAGCTGGCCAATCAGAGCACACCTCGCTTTTCAGACCGATGAGCTTTGTAAAAATCGACGTGTTTCAGAAAGGCGGGGCATAGAGGAGAAACAATAATGTACAGTATGTGGAAAATAATGTGTTTTTTGAACTTTAAACCGCATAAACACATTTCATTACACCAAATACACAAAATAATGTTCTTTTTAGCAACATCATATGACCCCTTTAAAGAAATAGTTCACAGTAAGTAAATAAGTTACCTGTTGTTACCAGAACAGAATCATGCAGTTGTTTAGTTACATTCTCCAACTCATCAAGCGTAACTGAACTCATTAACTGCACCGTATAATTTACAATCAAGCTGCCACTCCTTTAAATCAAAGGGGAAACGTTACTACATTTTCTGTCATTTATCTATTTCGAATGTGTGTGTAGAAAGAACGGGAAACAGTAGCTGCCAGAGGTGCTTGTTATCATGATTACCTGTAACTGTTGATAATCAGAGAATCAAAATATTTCAGTGTGCTGTATTGTTCCACAAGCTAAAAGAAATTGAAACATGCTGGTGAGGTATATGTACGAAAAATTACTGGAATTGCTCAAGTTAATCAAACCAGCAATACAGTTACAGTTTTTAAGCATTGCAGGGTGACAATATGGTGCCTGTATATTTTACATCTCATATACTGTACTTTATTTTGCCTACAGGAGGCAAAAAAAACTGTCCTTTCCATAAACAATGGCAGGTACACAATAATGCAGGAATGAACTAATTAAACAACATAAAATGTAAAACATAAAACACCATAAGGAAAAAAAGAATGTAATCCTTAATACAATGTGATGAGTGATGTAAATGTAATCAATTATTTAATCAAATGATTTTAGGAAAACGGTTGTGTTGTGTTGATTTTCAGCAGTACATACCTTATTAATAATTGCCATGCTTTTTTTCTTGTAAGCATCAGAATCTTTTTTGTTTGGATCACATAATTCGCTGCAATTCTCATTTGGAAACTTAGTTGATCCATCGATGCTTACTGGAAAAAATAAGAAGCAGCATTTAATAACCGTTATGTTTTTTTTTTTAAATCAAGAAATCCTGTGCCCATATCAAACAATACTCTACCTCTTGATTCAGGAAGACACACAGCAATGTCATTAACTTTTTGCGTGCAGTTTTCATTGCAGCATTTATTATTTTTGCACATGTCCTCACTGCCTGTGTAATTTTTCTTGCATGAACAAATCTTATGCATCCCATTCCATGGGCAATCTGCAAACAAGCACATTATAGATGTTGTTGTTTTTTTTCCATAGCATCAATTATAGATTAATCGGAAACGTAGCGACTGCCCATAATTTCTGTTTTTCATAAACCTATATTTCATATGTCTGGGTCAGTTCCCTTATGCAGTCGATTTTCATTTCCCCATCATATATAGGGCAAATTATTATACCTTATAAATAAATCATATTAGCTTTCTTTTAGTACAATATCAGGTAAACATGGGGTGAATTGAACAAAAAAATTTTACATTTGATCTTTTTTTCTTTTTTCTTTAATTGAAATGCTTCAACCAAAATGTGTATTATTGGGAATATTCTTTTAATTTGGAATCAATGTATCATTTTTTCCTAACTATCAAAATAATTTTCCATCATTTTACTAACAAAAGCCAGTTCCCTAATAACATAATCCTGCAAGAACTGAACCCATTTTCGTTTAATTTTTAACAATTCCATCCTGTTTGATTGAGTTACACAGCAGCACTGACAACAAGTTTCACATTACTTTGTGTGTGTGTGTGTGTGTGTGTGTGTGTGTGTGTGTTTTAGGGCTAAAGGAATGTCCTTAAAATTAAAGGATATTGTACTGGCAAAAAATTACCAATAGGCCTACCTTTTTTGTTTTTCTGCTATTTTTTTCTTACAGTGTGAGAAATGCTGGTGTGTAATTTCAAGCTTTATATGTTTGATTACCTGTTGTGATGTCGATGTTTGTCACAGCTGAATTATTTATGTCTATGCAAGGCAGCTTTTTCAGAAGGTCAACAACGAAGTTATACACCGATGACTCGATTTCAAGTTCTAACCAGTACACCTGTGTGGAATTAGCTTGAATACCTGCCACTGCAACCTATCAAACAAAAGTGTTAAAGAGTTAATGCTAAATATAATAAATTGTGTATATAACTGAAGAACTTTTATAATAATTAAATATTATCCCACCTTAAAAAACAATCCCAGAAAAAGGAGAAAGACGCCTTTAGACAGTTTCATTTTTGTGCCATCAATTTCTGGGTGATGAAACAGAGTGCAGTCATTCATATGAATATATGCATATGCTTTCCGTCAGTGACATCAATAATGCAATACATTTACATGTATTCATTTAGCAAACACAAAAATTGATTCATCTTAAGGTGTTTGTAAACACAAGAAATGAATACAAAATTGTTTAACTTTTTCCAAAATAGTATGAGCTAAGAAGTGAAGTGAGAAGTGAAGTTTTTTTTAACAATATGCATTAACTACACTAGGTTTGGAATCTTTTTTTTTTAAGAGAAGCTCTTATGGTCACAAAGGCTGCATTTATTTGGTTAAAACAGTAATATTGTAAAATATTATTATACGGTAATTTAAAATAACTGTTTTCTATTTTATTATATTTTAAAATGTAATTTATTCCTGTGATGCAAAGCTGAATTCCTCCAGTCTTCAGTGTCACATGATCCTTCAGAAATCGTTCTAATATGCTGATTTGCTGAAACATTTCTGGTTATCATCAGTGTTGAAAACAGACGTGCTGTTTCATATTTTTGGGGAAACTGTCATATTCAAAAGTTTAGGGTAAGCAATGTTTAAAGTTTGTATTTATTTATTTTTAAAGGAAATTAATACTTTTATTCAGCAGGAAGCATTAAATTGATCCCCCCCCCCAAAAAAATCTATTAAAGAAATTCATAATGTTACCATAGATTTCTATTTCAAATAAATGCTGTTCATTAAACTTTTTATTCATCAAAGAAGCCTAAAAAAGGGTTTTATGGTTTCTACAACATTTTCAACACTGATAATAATAAGAACCATTATTAATAATTGGGCACCAATAATGATTTATAATAAGTGAGGAGTAAATCAGCATATTAGAATGATTTCTGAAGGATCATGTGACACTGAAGACTGGAGTATTGATGCTGAAAATTCCGCTTTGATCACAGAAATAAGAAATCTATTTTTAAATACATTCCGTTAGAAAACAGTTATTTTAAATTGTAATAATATTTCACAATATTGCTGTTTTTACTGTATTTTTTATTAAATAAATGATTAAGATGAGCATAAGAGACTTCTTAATTAATCCACATTTTTGACCAGTAGTGAACAATAGCCCATGTCATTGCTAACAAACAAGTTACATCCTGATAAATGGAGCTTATGTGAAGAACACTGGCTAGAATCCATTAAACGTGTCAACGTACCTCTCTGCCTTATGTCCTGTCAGCAGTATTGATCCGTGGATTCAGGGTACAATTTTATTGCAGCGATGACTTTCATAAAAAGCTTCAAGTGGCCGTACAGACCATGTAAGAGGATGGAATGATATCCCGCTCAATGAATGTTCCCAATAACCCTCCTGATTTGCATTATTTAGGTCACATGACTCAAAAAAATAGCCTACTGTAAAAGATAGCACAGTTCCACTTACAAATATTTTTTTCTAACTGAATTCCGTACTGAAGTGTAGGATTTACTTTATAGCAATTATCACCAAGAATCATTTCACAACTTCATAACTCGCAGCAATAACTTTTACAATATATAACCATAAAACAGGTGAAAAAAAATCCCACAGACACACATTAAACCAGATAGCAGAATATCACACAGACTTGAGGGTGCTGGACTTTCTGTCACACAAAGACAGTAACCTGCACACAAAACCCCCAACAACACCTCAACATTCAAGTGTTTTCTTCAGGGGCATTTTCTTACTGTATTATTAGTTATCATAGGCTTTTGCTCATTCAAATCATCTGATTTGTTAGAATGTACATATGTATTTATTAAAGACACATTTCTGTGCTATAAAACCCACAAATGACTCTGCTTATATCGTGTCTGTAATACAACCATCTTCATTTGCATTTATTTTGCTTCCAAGCTATATGTACATGTTCAAGTTAAAAACCTTATCTGGTCTAACTAGTCAAACTTTATTACTGTTGTGGTACTTTTTTCTAACCGGTTTGCTTCAGTTCTTCAGTTCTTCAGTGCACAGTTGAGGAAATAACAGTTTAGTTGTATCTAATCTTGTATTTTCATTATATGTCACCAGTGACATTTCCAGCTCATTTAAATGTTCAGTCAGTATGCAGGCGCAACTTATTGTGTACAAAAAAAATTATTTCCAACATTTAAGCGACAAACTGTTTTTTGTTGTTTGAAAGAGACATTGTGTCCAAAGAAAATGCATTACGGTAAAAAAAAAATTAAAAAAAATGCATTGAACACCACAGAATGTTCCAGAATAGCCATCACCCAGATGCTAGTTTGAATATCAGTTTGGGGAATCAAGCCGTAAGGAAACAGACTCTGTCAACAGCGGGCTCATTCATTCACGCGGTATAAACAAAAGTACCTACAGAAAAAATAGCACAACTTTATTTGCATTTTACTTTGCATGGCCTCATGATTTTTATGAAATGACACCTACTTTTCTATGTTTTTGTGCACTGTTACAGTCTTTGAGTCAGAACAGCCGGCATTGTAGTCTACTCTTCCAGGATCAGGAAACAGTCCTCCATAAGATGTGCTGCAACATTCCAACCGGAGCTACTTCTCTAAGTTTATGTCTATGGCGATTCACGCAGGTATGTGTTACTCCGCAGCGGTGGCGACCCGACCAGGCTACAATAGTCCAAATATAAGTACTTATTATAAGTGTACTGTAGTGATTCGGAATAAGACAAAAACGCGGTTTGGAAGATGAATTCATGATGTACTCGCTCATTATATACATTTGGCAAATTTTGAACACAGAAAAAGTTACATAGTGCTGCTTTAATATTTCAATAATTTAACAATCTGTTGATGGTTTTCTGATGTTGGATGATGGTCACATGACATGCAAATGCACAAAATATTTAATATTTGTTAGTATTTTATCCAGTATTTTTATGATTTAGCTGTTCATCAATGCATGATACTTGTGGATTATTGTGATGCTTTTATCAGCTGTTTGGACTCTCAGTCTGACGGCACCCATTCACTGCAGCAAGTGATGGAATGCTACATTTCTCCAAATCTGTCCTGATGAAAGAAAAAACTCATTTAAATAGTGCAAGACAATGCTGTTGTTGTTTTTTTACTTTAAAGATGGATTTCCTGTAAGTTTGCTCATGCAAACATAGCGTCATGCATGATGCACAACATACATCTATTTTACAATGCAAATCTATCAAGAGTCATGAAACTCAAAATCTAATCTGAATGAAGGGCACACTGTATGCTGTTACATCGCAGCATCATCTGCTTTGACTACACTGTAAATTGTTTTTAGTAATAAAAGTAATTAAAGGTTTTTCTACTTCTTTTTCTACTTCAAAATTTCACATTTAATTCAATGTGCCATGTTTTTACTAACAATTTCTGAGTGAAAATTGTTTCTACAAATTTTTATCACTGTAGTTTAGAATACATAAGGCAAATTATGCAAGTTTTTTTTTAAATCGCATATTAATCAGGATCATTGAGGTTGAGCTGTAAAGGCTCTCATCTTTGGTTGCTATATGTTTAAGTCAAAAGAGCCCATCCTCAAGTCAGCATCATATTCTGCTCAGGATGGATGGATGTTCCACAGGTTACACTTGTGCAGCAATTCCAGGAACCAAAAATGTATATTTTCATTTTAATAGTGAAGTGTTGTGGACATTTACGGC